CTTAGGCCTTCAGAGAAGGCCTTGAAGGCCCTGACGGCCCACCACTGATTTACACATATATGTACACATGTTTACATATGGAAGAAGGCCATCAGACTCACCCTGTAGTTGGAGTGGGCTCTGTTGTTCAGAAAATGTCCCATTGGTGTGTGCTCAGTGCGTCCTGGGGGGTAGAGGCCCTCTGAGGGGCCTGTGGGCACATGGTGGAATACAAACCAGAAACCTGTTTCCTGTAGATTATCACAAACACAAAAATAGACTGTTTGTGTATGTACAGGAAGAATTTTAGATATAAACATACTTTACTCGTGTAGGAGAAGAGACGCCGGATAGAGGCATACCTCTGAGCCTGCAGCAGAACAATTAATGATGTTGTTATTGGGATTTGCTATCCAGAAAGTTGAAGATGCACTATTTAGTGGAAGAGCGTTGAAAACAAAACAGAAAAAAGACAATTTAATTACTGTATATCACATCAGTAATGTTAAGCAATACTTTAGGCACACAAATTCCGTCTTTTCAGCACAAAAAAAATGAAGGACCGTTGTTGTTGTTGCGGTTACACAGATGCTGAGGGTCACATCACATTCTCTCTTTGTTCAATTCTTCTCAGTTGTTCAATTGATAGCCCATTTGCTTTTAAATGCTTCAATTGTAGTAACTGTGCTAAAATCTTTGAACAACATTTGGAAATAGATCATCAGAAACAAACTTTTTTTTTTGCATGAAAAAAAACTTGCCTATGGTTTTAAAATTGAATTAGATGCTACTTCATTAAATGAAAACCAATGAATATCCTGAATAACCATTCCATTTTCTATACAGCTTATTCCAAATGGTGTGGCTGGACCCTATCCCAGTATACAACGGGCGAGATTCGGGGTACACCCTGGAGAGGTTGGCAACAACAAGCCACACACTTTGAGTGACATTCTAATGTGCATGTCTTTGGATGGTGGGAGGATGCCAGAGTACCGAGAGAGATCCCATGCAGACGAAGGGTGAATATGCAAATTCCATATAGAAAGGTCCTGGTTTGAGTCCCCCAGGAACCATGACCATGGTGTGAGGCAACGGTGCTAACCACCACACCACCCACATAGCCTGAAATAATCCTAACTGTGGAAGGCACCAGAGTGAGAAACTTCAGGGAGGAGCCCTGAATTCCACAACATATTGCCAGTTGGATTTACATAACTGGATGCTGTATTGAATTATAAATCCAACAGTATTTGTTACTGTGGTTTGAGTCAAAATTAGCAAACCAAATAACAATAACGATGTCCTTCATCGTGTCTTTTGGTTGGATTTATGGAGATGAATTTTCAGCTTTTCATACTTGTTCATGCCATTTTCAGCTGTGAATGTAGTAAATATAAATGCTCAAATAAGAATACTGTTATCAATTCTAGTAAGGTTTACCATGGGTTCAAAAGATCCCTGCATGAAATTAATGCAAAATTACTGGATGTTTATTGCAAAGAACCTGAAAATCAGAAATCATTTCCAATTTTAACCTTCCATGTTCCAGAATGGCGCACTCGCACTCTTCCATGTTCCAGAATGGCGCACTCGCCATTCTGGACTCAGCGGAGACACCCAGGAGGAGCGGCGGCGACGGTGGCGGCCCCCCCCCCTTCTGCTCTGAGAGAGCCCATGGGGGGGCTTAGCCACCACGCCCAGGAGGCTGCCGAGGCCGGCTCACCGGTCCGTCCTCCTGCCCGTGAGCGAGCTCGGGGCCCGCAACACCCTCCACGCCCTGACCGTGACGAGCCTCCCAGGCTCGCCACGCCCACGCTCTCGTCGCCGTGCCCGTGGTCGAGCCAGGGAGGCTCGCCACGCCCACGCTCTCGTCACCCCGCCGTGCCCGTGGTCGAGCCAGGGTGGCTCGCCACGCCCTCGTCTTCCCGCCGTGCCCGTGGTCGAGCCAGGGAGGCTCGCCACGCCCACGCTCTCGTCTTCCCGCCGTGCCCGTGGTCGAGCCAGGGAGGCTCGCCACGCCCACGCTCTTGTCACCCCGCCGTGCCCGTGGTCGAGCCAAGGAGGCTCGCCACGCCCACGCTCTCGTCTTCCCGCCGTGCCCGTGGTCGAACCAGGGAGGCTCGCCACGCCCACGCTCTCGTCTTCCCGCCGTGCCCGTGGTCGAGCCAGGGAGGCTCGCCACGCCCACGCTCTCGTCTTCCCGCCGTGCCCGCGGTCGAGCCAGGGAGGCTCGCCACGCCCACGCTCGTGTTACCCCGCCGTGCCCGTGGTCGAGCCAGGGAGGCTCGCCACGCCCACGCTCTCGTCATGTTCCCTCGTCATGTCCCCAGCCATGCCCCCGTCTCATGTCCCCAGCCATGCCCCCGTCTCATGTCCCCTAGCCATGTCCCTCGCCATGCCCCCTAGCCATGTCCCCTCGCCATGTCCCCTGCCATGTCCCCTAGCCATGTCCCTCGCCATGTCCCCTAGCCATGTCCCTCGTCATGTCCCCTAGCCATGTCCCCTAGCCATGTCCCTCGCCATGTCCCCTAGCCATGTCCCTCGCCATGTCCCCTAGCCATGTCCCTCGCCATGTCCCCAGCCATGTCCCCTCGTCATGCCCCCAGCCATGTCCCTCGTCATGCCCCCAGCCATGTCCCTCGTCATGCCCCCAGCCATGTCCCTCGTCATGTCCCCAGCCATGTCCCACAGTCATGCCCCCAGCCATGTCCCTCGTCATGTCCCCAGCCATGTCCCACAGTCATGTCCCAAGCCACACCCATGCCCCTCGCCAAGTCAAGTCCGTCACGCCATGTCCTTGCCAAGTCACACGCCATGATCCACGCCTCGTGTTTGTTCCCTCTGTTCCTGATCCCCCCCCCCCACCCTCCCGTGGTCCTCGTGTGTGTTAGGGCCGTCTGGGAGCCGTCCCTTAAGGGGGGGGCTCTGTCACGTCTGGTGTCTCGTCATGTCATGATTACCCATTGTGTACACCTGGGGTTCCCCTCCTCATGTGTTTAAATAGTCCTGTTTCCCCTTGTCTGGCGCGAGTGCGTTTTCGTCTTTCGTCCGTCTTGTCCGTCGTCTCCCCCACGCCAGGTCTGTTTGCCATAGTTTTTGTCATAGTCACAGTTTTGCTACAGTTTTGTTAATCTTTATTTTGTTACTTTGTCAAGTCATAGTTTTTGCCACAGTCTTGTTTGTTCATTGCTTTGTTACTTTGATCACAGTTTTCCACAGCTTTGCTTTGTACTTTGTCTGGACTCTGGTTTTTGTTACAATAAACCTTGTTCCCCTCATCTCCGCAACTGAGTCCTCCGTCAACACCCACCCTCCTGACACCATGTACTCAAAGGGGAGGAGAGCAATACCAAAATCAGCCCTAGGTTAGTGGAGCACCAAAATAAGGAACTGGAGAGACACATGTTTACAAGTTCAGCCTGGTTTCCAATGTTCAGTATCTTTGCAATCCACTTCAAAAAAAGATTCTCCAATGGTTTGTTAAGGGACAAAAAAAGAATAGTTATACAAGTCTCTCACCTGCAGTCTTGACGAGGATTGGCAACATATCCTGGATAAGCTCCATCGGTGATATTGCGGCACATGATGCTATCTCTGTCTGAAGGCAATAAGGTTCCTGCTCTCACCATCAAGCCCAGACAGTGATCAAATGTGTTCCTCTCTTCTGGGCCATCCTCCGTAAAGAAACAGTGTCCAAGTGTGTCATAGCCAACCACATCTTTAACCTAGGAGGGAACAAATAAGTTGAATTACATATGAGAAAACAGTATCCAAGAGTTATATACTCAGTAAGAATTGAATACATTTAATCATTGTAACTATTTATTATACAAACATAGCGTGTCAAATCCTAACTTTTTTCTTTAACCTCAAAATAAGTGTTTGTACATTTGAAAAAATTCACAAATATATTTTTCTGTACTTTATGAATGCAAGAAGTGAAAAAAAGGTTTAATGGTGAATCTTTACTGACCAGTAGTCCATTGGTGCCATGAATGGTTACACAGCGTGAAAAAGAGTGATGAATGGATAGATTGCTGACAGATGTTGGGGGACTGTAGCCCCCCCTCTCATCCACATCTCCATTCATGTGAAAATGGACTGGATAGTGACCCATTGTTTGTTGTCCCATGTGCTGGAGTTCCATGCCAGATATGTGAACAGCACTGAACCCCCACTCCACCTAATAATGATCATAGAAAACACAACTTAATTTAATTCTATTAAGCATTGTAAAAGCGGGAAAATAGAACAATGCTAACACATATATTCAATTTACCATAACAATCATTCAATCATGACAAGTCTAAAAAGAAGGTGGAAGAAATAAGGCTTTTGTATTCCCACCCTTTTCCAATTCTTAGAACATAAAATCATTTTAATGTGAATATTATAAGTAATTTACATATATATATATGTTTCTGTACACACAGACTTAAATATACATATGGCCTAAAATTATTACCAAAATTTTGAAAATTAAGAGCTGCTGTAAAGTATTTTTTTTTTATAGCGTTTTGGGTTTCCTACTAGTGCTGTGATTTTATGTTATATTGTTTCATAGCTTAGTGGCTCCTCCATTTTCTAGTGCAATTTTTATTTAGTCATTTTCATACTTTATATTCGTTCGATTAGTGGTGTGATCTATTGTTTGTAAATAATAATCATAGGTTGGTTTTGCCTCTTTTAAAGGAGTGATTTTCTTTCCGTAAAGTTTCATAGTTTGGACCTCTTCTGCCCGGAGTGATTTTTTTGTGTCAATAATTTTGCCTCATTGCAAAGGTGCTTTGCCCATAACAATAACTTTTCATAGCTTGTTGATTTTCTCTTCTGTGGAGACCTAATCAATAAAGACTTGTGCAAAATGAATCCTGCATGTGCGTCCTGTCCCTTATCCCGGATCGTGACAATGACTTGTTGAGTCCTCCAGGTGACAAGTCTTGGATGTCTTCTGTTCAACCTTTATATGTGCACTTTGGATCAGATATTAAAATTTTACAGACAATACACAACCTTATGTGTTTCTCTCACTATCCCAGCACTCACTAGCCCAGCAGATGTATTGTATCAATATCTTAATGAAAATGAAAGCATTTTCCACAATTAAATGAAGACAAATCTGAGATCATGTTGTTTGGTTGCTAAGAGAAGAGAGTCAGGATTGCTAATGATCTTCAGACTTTGACCCTCACTGATCAAGTTCGTAACCTGGGATTGCTGACAGACTCACATCCTAATTTCAGCAGCCATGTCAAAGCTGTAACAAAGGGAGGTTTCTACCAACTAAAGGAACATCAACTGAATTAACATTTCCTCTCACAAATAGACCAGGAAAAACTCATGCATTCATTTCCAGTAGACACAATGAGTGTAATGTTCTTTTCACTGGGCTTCCCAAAAAGAACATTAACACTAGAAGTCCCTGTCACGGTGGTGCTCCTGGTTGAGGGTTTTCGTCTTGTCTTAATGTCGTCTCGTCATTTCCTGTTTTACTTTGAATACTAACCCTCATCTCGTTTCAGGTCACTTGCACTTCCTGTTGTGTCACCAGTCCGATCGTCTCCCAGATTACCTATTGTGTACACCTGGGGCCCCCTTCCTTCATGTGTTTAAATAGTCTTCGTCTCCCCTTGTCCCGTGCCAGAGAATTGCGTTTTGTTTCGTGTGCCTCTCGAACCATAGCTCCTGACCCATCATAGTTCCCGTTCCCGAGTCCCCTCGTCCTGACCATAGTCCCCGTCCTTGAACCTCGCATTCCTCGTTTTGCCTCCTGTGCGAGTTTTTGAGTTTATTATCTCCTAGCAGCTTTGGACTAGTGAGTATTTCTTTGTTACTTTGCTTACGCCTCGTCCTCTGAAAAGAGAAATTTACTTTGCACTTTGCTGTCCTGATTTGTACTTTTGTCCCTGCCTCTTCGGAGAAGTTTTCAGTTGTTACTTTTTCCTCCGTTTTGGAGCGCCACCCTTTTCCACTCCGTTGGAGTGTGTATTCTGTTAATAAACTCTTTTGAAAAGAAGCTCTGCATCTGAGTCCTCACTCAGCAAGTCCAGCCCTGACAGAATTCTCTGGCCAGTATGGACTCAGCAGAGCTGACTCAGTTCGCCGCCGCCATGCGGGAACAAGAGGCACGGCTCCGCCTCCAGGAGGAAGGTCAGTCCTCCATGGCCGCCCATCTCGGCGCCCTGACCACCCAGCTGCAGGAGCTGGTGGAGCGTCTGCCTGAGAGGACACCGGCGGCAGCGCGCCCGGCCGAGGACCCCGGCCAGCCGAGGACCCCAGCCCAGGGGGTGCCCGTGATCGGTCCCCAGATCGGCCTCGCTCCCCCCGAGCGCTTTTCAGGCGAACCGGGGCAGTGCGACCCGTTTTTGACTGACTGTTCCATTCATTTTGAATATTCCCCACAGGTCTTTGTGGGTGACCGACCAAAGGTGGCGTTTATTATATCGCACCTGACGGGGCGAGCCAGGACATGGGCCACGGCTGAGTGGGCCCGGGACTCCCCCATCTGCCACAGCCTAGCAGCGTTCACCCAGACGCTGAAAAGAGTTTTCGACCCGGTCAGCTCCAGCAGGGAAAAGGCCCAGCGGCTGACGGGGATCTGCCAGGGCTCAGACAGCGTATGTGACTATGCGATTGCCTTCCGCACATTGGCGGCAGAGAGCGGTTGGAATTCCGCTGCTCTGTACGACGTGTTTCTGCAAGGCTTGGCAGACCCCATTCGCGAGCTGCTGGTCCCCCTCGACCTCCCGGCAGACCTGGACAGCCTTATTTCCCTAGCCATCCGGACGGACAATCGGCTCCAAGGGCTCCGTCGAACCTCCCGCCGGAATAACGCAGCGACGAGCACCGCTCCGCCTCCCAGACGGAGGAGGCCCGCTACGTCCCCGGCGGGGATCACTCCGGGGCCCCCTACGCCACGGACGGAGAAGGAACCCATGCAGCTCGGCCGCACCCGCACGTCCCTCGAGGAGCTTCAGCGGCGCCGCCTGGAGGGGCTGTGTTACTACTGCGGCATGAAAGGACATCTGGTGGGGGCGTGTCCGACCCTACGAGCGCTTCCGACCGTCTCCGTGAGTACTGCCCGCTCTACCGTGCGTCCCCGCACCCCCGTCCTAGTGACCCACAAGGCGGGGCGCACTGAACTGGAGGGGTTGGTGGACTCAGGGGCGGACGAGAGCTTCATAGACTGGGGCTGGGTCTGCAAACTGGGGATCCGGACCAGATCCCTTGAGAACCCCATCACCGCCCGGGGGTTGCATGATAAAAAACTCTTCCAGATCACCCACTCCACAGAACCCCTCCAGATTCAACTGGGTGACCATCAGGAAACCATGACTCTTTTTTGTACAGACTCTCCAGCCTACGCAGTCATCCTAGGGTTCCCCTGGTTGGTTCGGCACAACCCCCAGATCGACTGGCGTACTGGGAACGTCACGGCCTGGGGGGAGGAGTGTGCACAACATCTGGAAGATGTCCACGGGGCTACAACTATTAATGCTGTGCAAACTGCTTCTCCCACAGGTGACCACGACCCATCAATAGACGCAGTGCCTCCTGAGTACCACCACCTCCGGGAGGTTTTTAGCAAGGCCAAGGCCCTATCACTCCCGCCGCATAGGCCATATGACTGCGCAATAGACCTTGTCCCCGGATCCACCCTCCCCAAGGGGAGGGTGTACGCCATTTCAGGGCCTGAAAGAGAGGCCATGAAAGAGTACATCTCCACCTCTATAAAGGCGGGTCTGATCCGCCCTTCCTCCTCTCCGGTGGGGGCGGAGTTCTTTTTTGTGGCCAAAAAGGACGGTTCCCTCAGGCCCTGCATCGATTACAGTCCCCTGAACAGCATCAGGAACCGGTACCGTCTCCCCCTCATGTCCTCCGTGTTCGACCAGCTGCAGCAAGCTCGGGTCTTCACCAAACTAGACCTCCGGAACGCATACCACCTGGTTCGCATCAGAGAGGGGGATAAGTGGAAGACCAGTTTTAATACGCCTAGTGGACATTACGAATATTTAGTAATGCCCTTTGGACTGACTAACGCGCCTGGAGTTTTCCAGGCGCTGATTAACGACGTCCTTCGGGACTTCCTAGACCACTTTGTGTATGTCTATTTAGACGACATTTTAATTTATTCTCCGGACTTGGAGACCCACCGCACTCACGTGACCCTAGTATTGGAGAGACTATTACAGAACCACTTGTATATTAAAGCAGAGAAAAGTGAGTTCCATGCCACGACCATCTCCTTCCTGGGCTTCATTGTAGCCCCTGGAAGGGTGCAGATGGACCCGGCAAAGATTAAAGCCGTCACTGAATGGCCCGTACCTGATAACCGCAAGAAGGTGCAGCAATTCCTGGGGTTTGCTAACTTCTACAGGCGGTTTATCAGGGGGTTCAGTGCCAAAGCTGCTCCTCTCCATGCCTTGACCTCTCCCAAGGTCCCCTTTGTCTGGTCCCCACAGGCCGACGCAGCCTTCCGCACCCTGAAGCAGCGTTTCACCACGGCCCCCATCCTCATCGTCCCTGACCCTTCCCGTCAGTTTGTGGTGGAGGTGGATGCCTCCAACGAGGGGATAGGGGCCATCCTCTCTCAAAGGTCCCCCAAGGATGGCAGGGTGCACCCCTGCGCCTTCCTGTCCCGACGCCTGACCACGGCCAAAAAGAATTCAGACGTCGGGAATAAGGAACTGCTGGCGGTAAAAGTGGCGCTGGAGGAATGGCGCCACTGGTTCGAGGGGGCGAGTCAGCCCTTCCTGGTCTGGACGGACCACAAAAATCTCGAGTACATTCGTCAGGCCAAGAGAATGAACTCTCGCCAGGCCAGGTGGACTCTGTTTTTTAACCGCTTCACCTTTTCCATCTCTTACAGGCCGGGGTCCAAGAACGTCAAACCCGACGCGCTGTCCAGGTTGTATGACCCCGAGCCTGTTTCCAAGGATCCCGAACCCATCCTTCCACGGTCCTGTGTGGTCGGAGCGGTGACTTGGCAGATAGAAGATGCTGTTAAGCGAGCAAACGGCATAGCCCCACCACCTAGTGGGTGCCCGGAGAACCGACTGTTCGTCCCACCTCCGGTGCGCTAACAGGTGATCCATTGGGCTCACGCCTCGCCGCTTTTCTGCCATCCGGGAGTTAAGCGAACCATGTTCGCCATCTCTCGGCTGTTCTGGTGGCCATCCATGGAGGCGGAGGTCCGGGAGTACGTTGCTGCCTGCCCGGTCTGCGCCCGTAATAAGACCTCCACCCGACCACGCTCCGGACTGCTCCAACCCCTATGATATACGCTGCTCTGGGTTTCACTGCTAATGTCACATAAACGCAACCCACATTTGCGTCAGACAGCCATTCCCATTCTTTGAGAGAAAAGTGAAAGAATAATGCAGGCGGGAAATTGTTAAAAAAAAAGCAACAAGTGAACTTGTTTTTTATTGGAAAAGGTGTACATAACATTAAAATCTTATTGTGAGAAATATTGTGATACTATTAAGTTAGTCAGCACAAACTGTCCGATTCAACATTGTTGCCAATAGGTTTTTGTCTTTGGACACAAACAACTTTATTATTACTGTTCCAAAATATGTAACTGATTTCAACTAATAACTGTAACTAATTTTATGTTATTTTATGAGTTTATTTAAAAAAAAAATATGAGTCTACATTTTATTCTCTATAAAAGTTATGATTTTGACAGATTCTTTTATTTTTTTGTCGGGGGGGGCTTTAAAGTTTTTCATTCTTAAAAAGGGAGAAAAATCCCTCAGTCAGGATTCAAAATGGGAATAATTCACTGTGAGGTTGTCACGATCATGCTTGATTGTGGTAGTCTGTGGTTTACTGAGAGTTGACAAAGAAGGCACCTGGATGGAATCTGGCTGTCTCCTGTTTAAACACTTGTTTTTCATATAGCATCATCAGCACTCATTCTCAAGCAGCAGCAGGAGCACCAGTGTTAGCCAAATGATCATGCCTTTTTGGTAGCATTCAGGATTAACCCTATTTGTTCTTTTTTGTGTTACACTGCCATCCCATTGTGTTTGCTAGACCTTGGACCTTTGACATATTACCAATCATTTCCATCTTGCTACATTTTACATTTGGATCATATTTGTTTCAAGTGAAGAAAACCGTTTAAAGGTAATAGTCGTCCACCACTGGCCTGCCTGCTTGGTTTTTGCTGACCAGAAATCACCTCACCTCTGCCAGCTGACCCCTGGGCTCAAACCTCCTCCTATAACTTGTAAGCCATCAATCCATCCCTTTATTTCTTATACCACTTATTCTGAATAGGGTTGCGAAGGGGTTCGGAGCCTATCCCAGGGGACATTTGATGAGAGGCTCGGTACACCCTGGACAGGGGCTCACATAGACTAACAAGCCCACTTTACCAAATATACATTTTCCTGAATGGTGTGAGGAAGCTGGAATACTTGAAAAAAAACCTATGTATATACAGTTAGAACAAGCAAACTCCACACAATAAGGTCTCCAGTCCCCCAGGTAATCAAGCCAGGAACTTGGAACTTGTTGCGAGCAGTGCTTAACAGCACTCGACCATGTAGCTGACCAGTAACCCATAATACACACGTTCGTACTTTCCTGCTTGGAATCTGGAGTTTTTGAAAATGTGATAAAATAATTTGGAATATTACACTATTCAATACCCAAAATACTTGGTTATAAGATTGTTCTGTGTTGTTTGCTACAGTAACTGTAACGTCTATGAACAAAAATATACTATGAAAAGAAAGATACTTTATTAAAATATAATTAATGCCTACTTTAAAAAGGCTATCACAAAAAGGGAAAAAAAGATCTCCTATTCAGATCAGTTTATAAACATTGTTGAGGGAATCTTACCATAATTGAAATTTAAATGACCTACAACCTACAACTACAGCAAGTCTAAGTGCAAGAATAGGATGTAATTAACATTGTTCCAATTAGAGCAGTGACAACAAAAAAAAAAACATGAACAGACTGCAAGTGACTTTAACATATTTCTATTCCTTGGGGCTTTTGTATTTATTCATACATTTGTTTTTACCTCCACTGAGCTGAGAAAGGTATGCTGAGTTGTTTTATGCTGTTTAACTTGCACAAAAAAGCTAACTAAATCCTTCCCATGGGAAATTGCATATTCCCAGGCTACCCTTGGAGATTTGCCTTTCCAAGTTTATTCAAAAGAAACCTAATGAGTGGAGCTGGAACTAAGTAGTTGGTTGCACAATACCAGTCGATGACAGATAACAACTCTGTGTTTGTCTGCATGTGGTTCAAATAGTTCAAGTTACAAACGATGTACCTTCAAGTGTCCTCCAAATGTGTCAAAATTGAAGAAGTTGCAAGCCTCCTGGCCATAGCAGTTCGGCTCAGTCTCACCGCGAAGCAGGATGTTACGAGTCAGCAGACCAACCTCTGCCCTCATATCCACCCCATCTACCTCTTCACCTATGTGGGTGAACTGGGCCTTACCTACACTGACACACACACAAATGCAAACACAGAAAATATAACAACATTTAGTGACATTACAGGTTAAGCCAGGCTTATCTTCTTTATCTTATGCCAATTACTGAACCACCAACCTTCCAAGGGACAGATGAGCAGGCATCCACTTGACAGCTGCCCCATTATGAGCTTAATGATCAATTTAAATAAAAATAAATCCCATTATTCATGATTATATCTAATAAAACCAAGATTCAAATCATAATGATATATATGATAACTCATATAATGATGTCTAAAAAGACAAACACATGATTTAATTTTGTTTGTGCTTCAATCCCCTGTTTTGAGCATTCATAGGGTGAGAGTGGTGAACAGATTTTTTCAAACAGAAATAACCCTCCTGCAGAACAACAATTTCTCTCTCCAAAAACTAAGAAAATAACTTCCCTGACCCACAGGGAGTACTAACCCTTTTTCAGTTTAGAAATGTGGCCATAGATTTAAGGGGGCAACTAACAGTTCTTCTATTATCAAAATTCCAAATACCCTGTCAAGGTGGGACCAGTACAAATGCATCAATTACCAAAACAAGTACTGAAAGATACGGATACGAGACTTATTCAAATCAAGGAAAGCTATGTAGATTGTAGGGTCAAACTTTTCTATCCTCCTCAGTAAGGTTAAGTTCATGTTCACTGTTTGAAGACCTGGATGCATACCACACTACACTGTCCAAGATTGAACGATCAAGAATGCCTCCTTTCAGACATGCACAAATATACTTGTAACAAAACTATATACTTCAGAGCTAACAGCTAACAAGTCTTAAATCTCCCTAGTTTTTGGAGGTGAAGTGGTTGCACTTAACTCTTGAAACTTCAGCATTCACGGGAGTGGTTCAAAGTCAGAATTGCCGGAATTACCAGCAGCAATAACTGTTACTGATCCAAGCTTTTAATAAAGTTTTTGGGATAAACAAAGTAGTTTTTCATTGTAATTTTTTTAACTGGTTTACTATGATGTATCAGATAATTTGACATATCCTACATCATAGTTAGTGATGTTCATATGGACAAATATCATTTTGAATTACTTTAAATCACTCATGCTTATCCTCCTGAGACTCTGCGTCCTCATATGAGGATATTGAATTTTTGTCTCATCACCACGATCCTTCTTTTTTCTTTCGACTTGGACCTCTCGGCATCATAGTAGACGCTATTAGACACTATTGTTTGAAATCTAAAGTAAAATGGTTTCATACATTTTCAACCAATCATGTTCTTATTGTGTAATGAAAAGGTCGTAAATATGTAATTTGGACCATCAGAACCAAATTGCAAAAACATTCAATCAAATATATATATATATTAAGCTTTTTAGGTCCTACTAATCCCAATTATCTTGAAAAATGCAAACCAAATAAAATCTTGGGACTCAGGAAGTTAAAGAAATAATTCACCAATGTTATACTTGATTGGGAACATTCAACATATTTCTCACAGTCACTAAACATGCCATCCGTCCATCCGTCCATCCGTCCATCCGTCCATCCATCCATCTATCCATTTAAAATTACTTAGATTTGTTGGCCTTTCAGTGATGTTCAGATTTTCTTTAATTCACTGAATTACAATAACTTGGATTCTAACAGCAATGAATTGGACCATATATTCGGCGCTTAAGAAATAGAACTGAATTGAACCATTGTGAAAAATACACCATGGAATAGTTGCCTGTTTAGTGAGTACATCAAAGGGTACATAACAGTTCTTTTTCGTGCTGAATTGGGCAATTTGGTCAAGGAAAGAAAGGCATTAATTTTGTTGCCATAAAGAAAAGTCTTTGATGTCTACACATCACTACCTCATAGCACAGAATGTTCTTACAAATTAAATTTAAACTACATTCTTCCTCTTGGGTAGAGGATTTTCTGTCCATCTGTTATCTATCTATGACAAGTAAGATCATGAGGGGATAGCAGGAGGGAACCCATGCAGACACAGGGAGAACATACAAACTCCACACAAAAACATCTTGGTTGCCCAGGGATTCCAACCAGGAACCCCTTTGCTGCAAGGCAATGATGCTCAATAGCTTACTGTGGGGAAGATTTAGTAGGTTTATTGATTTTCAGAAGATTTATTATGAACACTGCACATTTTGCCAACTGATTTTTTTTTAACAGAAGACAATTGTTGGGACTGATTAGATCCATCTGTTGGAGGTATAAAGCCAAAATTTAAGGCACTGCCCCACAATATTAATTTCAGAATTCTCAAAGTATTTTTAGTTAAGTTAAGTTAAATTATTCATGCCCCGCCCTTCTCACTGAGTTTAAGTGGGGGTGTCTCCCAACCTGGAGACTCCAGGTGGAGAAAATTATATAATTAGCTGGGAGATGTTCACCCACAAAAAGAAATGAGCACTGCAAGGGTGGCTGAGGCAAACCACCAACACGGAGGCTGAGAGGAGGAAGGAATTTTGCGCGCGAGTTCAACTGATGATCGATCGGAGATTGTTTGGCGAGTAATAAGTTAAAGGTGGTTTTGGCATAATCTGGAATTGTGAGTGGATTAAGACAATGGGTAGTTGTAGTGGGGGGAGTTTGGACGATGAAAACATGGACATAGGATTGTCCATGGTAAAAAATAGAAGAGGGGGAAGAGATAAAATTAAAAGGGGATTAAATGTTGGTAAAAGATCTCTTGAGGATGAGGAAGAAAGAATTGAGACAAGAAAGAATATAATGATGGAAGAATGTAAAGTTATATTGAAATTTAGGCCTGGACAGGATATGAGTGGAATAAGTCCTATCACTTTGTCAAATGGATTAAGAAAGTTGTTGGAGATTTAGAACTAGCTAAAATCCTGAGGGATGGAATCTTACTTATTATTTGTAAAAAATACTGAGCAAAAGAACAAAGCCCTAAAATGACAAATGGTGTGTAAAAAGGAAGTGCTGGACAGAAAGGGATTTGGGGAAGAAAGAGGAGTGAAAGAAGTAATATCAGGGATTCCGGTAGGAGAAAAAATTGGAGGAGCTAAAGAAAACAATAAGAGGAGGAGACGTTACAGGCATCAGACGACTACAGGCTTTTAGGAATGGGGAGAAAATGGACAGTACATCTGTTCTTCTGAATTTCAAAGATAAAGTTCTGCCTGATAAAGTGATGATTGGTTACATGAGCTTTAATGTAATAGCTTATATTCCACCACCTCTAAGATGTTATAAATGTCAAAGATATGGACTTACTGCAATTGTTTGTAAAGGGAAACAGAGGTGTGGTAGATGTGGAGGTGAACATCCTTATGGTGAATGTGGAAATAATCCTGTTAAATGTTGTAACTGTGGAGGAAGTCATACTGCAGCATATGCAGGGTGCATGGTAAGGAAAGAGGCAGTGGCAGTGGCTCCGCTGAAGCAGGTGTTTGGATCGTGAAAAAGTCATTCCAAAGATGGGAAGTGAGTTGGGATTAAGCTTCAGTGAGTTTCAGACAACACTTGCCGCTAACCTTGCAAATGAACGCCCAATTGATGCCAGGGTACAGAGCCAAGAAGACAGTGTGCAGTACGTCACACCTAATTCACTTCTGCATGATCAAGTGGTGACTGGAAAACTTTTGATATCACAAATTATCCCTATAAAAGACTTCAATATGGAAGTAAATATGTGTCATCAGAATTTGAATAAAAAATACCTCTGAAATTTGAATGTTGTATATTAGTGCTTACTTTTTCAGTATTAAAATAAATTCAGAATATATTTTTAACCGAAAAAAACTTCAATGTCATTATTTGTACATAAAAAAAAAATTCAGTGTAATTTTTTTTACATGGTTGCAATTTTCAGTTATTAAAAAATTCACATTCCTATTTCAAAGTGATCAAATTTTCAATATACATATTTTTCACAGTTTAAATTTTCAGTCTTAAAAAATTCAGCATATAAAAAATTGAACTTTTAAAAATTCAAATGCATTATTTTCGTTGTCCTCCAATTCAACTTGCTCAAATGTCCGATTCCAACATCCACCTAATCACGTGACACAACCGTCATATTGAAGAAGTACCAGTATCACCCAAGCTGGCGACCATGGAGGCGAACTCAAACCCAACGGTGAGTTTAATGCTTTCATATTTCTGTAGTATATTTTATTTTGCGCATGAAGTTTGATACATTATCTTAAAGCCTGATTTAAAACACTGGTTTGGGTCACGTGATTAGGTGGATGTTGGAATCAGACATCCATTGCTAATGTCTGTGACCTGAAGTAACCTTGGCCATTTTTACAGCAAATTTTTAGACGCTGAATTTGAGACAGCAAATTTGAGCAAGTTGAATTGGAGGACAACGAAAATAATGCATTTGAATTTTGAAATGTTGAATTTTTTATATGCTGAATTTTTTAACACTGAAAATTTAAACTGTGAAAAATATGTATATTGAAAATTTGATCACTTTGAAATAGGAATGTGATTTTTTTTAATAACTGAAAATTGCAACCATGTAAAAAAAATTACACTGAATTTTTTTTTAATGTACAAATAATGACATTGAATTTTTTTTAGGTTAAGAATATATTCTGAATTTATTTTAATACTGAAAAAGTAAGCACTAATATACAACATTCAAATTTCAGAGGTATTTCTTATTCAAATTCTGATGGCACATATTTACTTCCATACTTCAAGCATGCAGCAGGTCAACAAGTTCTGGAGGTCCTGGAGCCAGCTTGCTGGACCTAATCTTTTGGTCAGAAGGAAATGGCACACTGCAAAGAAATGTTGCAGTCGGAGACATTGTTTGGCTGTTTGACCAGAATGCATTGAGGGGTCATTTTAAGCTTGGGAGAGTCATTAGTGTTAATCAAGACTCCAAAGGCATTGTAGGGGATGTGAATGTTAGGGTTATAACAAGTTTGTTTACTTCAGAGGTGAGGCCCACATCCAAGCTTCCTGCATCCAGAGTGCTGGGGGACATTCAGAGTACAATCCTTCACAGAGATGTCCGGCGATTGGTTGTCCTGCTTACGGCAGAGGAGCAGGCAGGAAACCCAGAAGGGAATCTGACTGTGAGGTGATTATATGCGATCTTTCCAGAAGTTTCTTTGGGAAGATCGAGTGGGAGGTGTTAAGTTAAATTATGCATGCCTCGACCTTCTCACTGAGTTTAGGTGGGGGGGGTCTCGCAACCTGGAGATTCCAGGTGGAGAAAATTATATAATTAGCTGGGAGATGTTCACCCAAAAAAAGAAATGAGCACTGCAAGGGTGGCTGAGGGAAAAGACTGCAGGAAGATTGTTCCACAGGGAAGGAGCCGGTGAGCCATACATTGTTTTGATATAGAAAGATTGTACAATGACTGGAATGTTAATACTTGGTCTATGTTTTTGTTTAAAGCTTTTCCACCTATTGCCACAACTGTTATGATTCTTGGTGATATTGCTGGTTTAACAAACCTTCAAATAAAAAAGGAAGTTAAAGAATCAAGTTTCGCGCCTGAGTGAAATCCTGTGGAGTCTCTGGAAGCAAGCTTCCCTTTCAAGTGGGGGAAACCTGCATGTCATCTTAAGCAAAAAAGAGACTTACATGCCAGGTAGGACCTAGATTCAGTCATGCAACAGAGACAAAGGCAAGCAGAATTTTGATAACAACAAAAAAACAAAATAAATTCTGAATTAACAATGAAAGAACAGTTTAGAACAACAGTCACAGTCCAATCTTCAAGCCCTCAGTATTTCCTCTGAACCTGCCTTGCCTCACTCAGCTTGTCAGCCAAACCCACCTCGTCAGTCACTCTACTCACCTGTGCACACAGCTGCCCCTCATCTCATCCAATCAGTCCAGTGTATATACTCACGAGCTCCACACTCACTCCTTGCCAGACTGTTCTTTGCCATGCAAGACTTTCCAGTGATCACCTGCCTGTCTTCTTGGTACCGACCTTCCCTGTCCCAGATTCCCCTGCTCGTCTGCCTCCTGGTAAATCGACCCAGCCTTCTGTCCCTAACCACAAGTTCAGCCTCTCCCTTCCGAGTTCCTGTTTGCCAGTGTGTGATCTGTTTGCCTGCCTGTCAGAGACTTATTAAAAAGTTTAACTTTACAACAGTCAGTGAGTCCACTGTACTCCAATTAGGTCCATACACCACCCATTACACTCTTACCCGTTGTCAGCTGGAATAGGCTCCAGTCCCCCCTCCAGATCCATTGGGAAATTAAGTGATATAGAAAATGGATGGATGGTGGCATGATGCAAGAGGGTTTCTGGTTCGAATTCACAGATGCCTTTCTGTGCTAGGTTATCCCAATGTTCACGTGTTCCCCTGTGTACCATTGCTCCCTCCCACAGGGAACACAGGGGCTTGTTGTAGATATTTGCATTCACTCATGCCAAACATCTCTACAAAATTTCGGGACTCAAGTTTTTGTGTGAAAATAACTACCGGCTTTCTTACCTTTTACTTTCACTTGGTTGGGTGAGCACGAAGGACAAGGCAGCAATGTAAACTCTTCAGCTTGGTGCATTGAGTAGTCTGTGCTAGCCACAACCACCCGATCACCAGACTCCCATCCTGTTGGCTGATCAGTAAGCTCCAGGATGCTGTTGCTTGATAATACGTCAATTGAAACAGAGGCCTGTGGATGCACTAAAAAGGAAGATAGGTACTTAAAAAAAGAATGGAACTGCTTAATTTACTATAAATAGCCTTTGAATGTAATCAATTTCACACCCACATCATTCAGGGAGATTGTTGACAACAACTTTCAGTAAGCAAAAAGCATTTACTGTGTTGAAAAACAGATAGACTGACAACAAATAATTGGTGAAAGTACCCAGTTTTCCACAAAGGAAGCGGACCCTATAATTGTGACACAGGCCATGAGGCTGATCCTTGTTGAGGCAAACAAAGCCGAAGTGCTTGTTGTTCCTGTAGATCACATCTCCTGTCTGGTTGGATGGTATGCCATCATGGGTTTCAGCCTGGACAAGGATGAAACATGGAATCAATTTATCTTTTTAAAAAAGACATGCCATCATTACACACTACTGGTATTGAAAGTGAGAACGCAATTGTGGAGCAGCGGAGGAGAGAAAATAAAATACATCAAAGGAAGCTGTCACTTACATAAAAACATTAAAAACATTGGTAGGATGTGGTTAAATACAAAACATGCAGGTGTTTAGGTCATATTTCATCTGATTGAGCCTTAAAAACACCAAACCGTGTTGGCCCACACATTTGGTTTCTCCTCAGATACATCAGTGATGTAGGTACACAAACCTATTGGGTTCAGTAACCTGCTTGAATTTTCTTCCATGGTTAAAATGCTTTAATATTTTTTATGATAAATGATAAAAAAGTAATTTGTCTTAAAGGAAAAACCATAGCCTATTTTCATAAATGTATTAAATTATACATTTCTCAGAACTGTCTTTTACAAACAATGTGCAATATGGTAAATGTTTGTTTGGTTTTGTCTTTCAAGGGTTTTCACCTACTAATAATTAATGATTTAACTGTAAATAACACAGGAAAAAAAATAAAAGGATAAGACGGAACAACAGTCTGGTCATTGAGTGGAACCCAGTTTAAAGTTCAGCTTGGTACAACCCTTCAAGTGTCGGAATAGCACTGCAAAGAAGTTGACTTGACAGTGCCTTTTGTCTACTTTTAACGATTCTAACCTTGACAGAAGCAATCAAAAAATATTTATGACACATGATCTGTAAGAGTTCAACAGATCATCAACATTAGAACATAGAGTATTTTCAAACCTAATAATTTCCATGAAATCGTGTTTTGTGACCCTTCCCTGAGTACAGCTTCGAAGTACAACTGATATCCATAAACTTTCCAATTATTTTCGATCTTCAAAACGTCAATTAACCTTCCTCATCCACCACCTGCTTCCAATCGAATGGCAGACACCTTCACCTAAGTGGCAATTATAAGTGAACAGTTTACTGAAGTGCCCACACCTGAACATTCTCAAAATACATACGCAAGCAGAAGTCCTTCTGCTTCATTTCCTTCCTTCACCCCTCTCAATGAAAGCAATGTCTAAACTTCTCACATATACCTATCCCCTTACATGTCCACTAGACCCAGTTCCTACATATCTATTCCAGCCCATAGCTCATACAGCAGCTGTCACACAAGTTATTAATGTGTCTTAATGATCTGTTTCTTTGAAACAGATAATTTCTTCGTCATAAAAAAAGTAGTTGGGCTCACAGACACTGGAAAACTATGTGTTCAACTGAAGCAGCTGTCCGAATTTGGCTATCCACCTGTCGTTGTTTGGGAAAAGTCCACTAATGAAGGTTGGTATTACCACTTTGTCAAGGGTCTCAAATAGATTCTCAAAATTGTTAGACTGTTTGTTTAGGATGTCTACTGCACCTACATGTAATATCAGGCACAGTGGTACTTAGATAGCTACAAGTAACTGTTTATGTTTATAGTAGATATGGCTCCCTATCCAAGCATAAAAGTATCTTTAAACATTGCACAGTTATTCTGTCCTTATTGTATGGAACATTGGATGACATTAACTTTTTCTGGATTAATCTCTGGATTTCCACCTCTCCACTCCACTGGAAATAACGTATCTCACCTCTCTGTCATCACTTTGACTAATGCCTGGACAGATTCCTGGATTTTCCAATGATCAACCTCCAAATAACATTTTGAGACTCTTTTATACCTTCACCTGCTTCCAATGGTCTCTGCTTAGGAATTTGCATTGTACTTAATTCCCAATTCATGACAGTTAGTTCATGACAGTTAGTTAGTTAGTCTACTTAATGGGATAAATGGAACAGCTAAAGCCAAGCTGCGTAGAACACTGTTAGAATCGTGTTAAACCTCTGTTTTCTATGTAACACAAAAATATTCTTATTTATCGTTTTTGCTGAGCCATATGTCATTCAAACAAAGCAGCATTACTGGAGCGATTGTACATTTCTCTCACCTGATTAGTTAAATAATTTTTTATTCAGTGCAAGAGAGCACAGAGTAAAGCAAAATATTGTATTATGTATCATGTGTTGTTCGACACAAATATATACATTTGTTTTGGGAGATTTACCTGGATATCCAGTGGACTACTACACAGTCGGTCTGGATAGGCCTTGTACAGATCATAGAGTTTCTCCCAGTCTCCTGATCCCCTCTCATCATCCCTGTCAAACCAGTCAGACCATTCTGCATCTGTGGGACACAGCAGTACCTTTCAGCTGTGAGTGAGTGACATGCCTATATACTCTCTCAATCTGGAACAGAACACACTCTTAAACAGGGACAGTAAAAATGAAAAACAACTCATGGGACATGATTTACTTTTCTTTCATAACAAACCATTACTGAAACAACAATAACTATTTGGTTATTTTTTAAATCTACAGAGAACTCCATATTTGCTGATGGAAAGATGAAGTGCTGATGGGGCAGCTGAATAAGGGAAGCACACGTGGAAGTTTAGTAAATCTGAACAGAGTGAAGTATACCTGCGTGCTGATAGTGGCTCACCTTGAACCCACTGACTGCTGATGGTGATGATGAAATGATCCCCAGATGTAGACTGAAACACACCAGAGCTGTAAGCCTCTGATGAGGCCTTAGTTCCTGACAAAACAGACACATAATGTTGACCACATCATGAAAGAAGAAACAAAACTTCTACAGAGGTTTTTCAACACTTCAGTCCTGTTCCACTGAATGTGATAAAGGGGACGTTTACCTTGATAAACACTGTGATCCTCCACAGAAGAAGAAGCATCACCTTTTTTCACAATAAAGGTCCAAGGGTGTCTTGAAACAGTCACAAAGAAACACAATTACAAGAGAGAGAGAAAACATCAAAGGACAGTGATATAACAAGGAAATAAGCAACATATCCCCATACTGAAACATTAATCTAAGGCCTCTCAATAAAGTTGCAGTCCACAAAAATGTCAGAGGGGGAAAATATACATGAGTGTCTTTACACCAAAACTGACATCATTGTAAAGAAATGAGGAAGCCAAAATCATCCACTGTGTCCCGCAGCCTGTACTGCCACATCTGCACATCTGCATCCATGAGGTATGGCAGCTAAAGGGAAACCAATATCACGTTTTTACTAGTGACATATCCGGACAACTTGACAGACAATAAATAACAGAGTCAACAGTGTCTCATAAATTCCAACTTATTAAAATGTCCCCTGGTTCATTGCAGTGACACAGCCTCCCTATCAAGATGACACCACAGCTGGTATGTCTGGCAGCAGTAAGTAGGGATGGCGACAAGAGTCATTATCCAAGAATCTCTCTGTCGCCTCATTACTGCATCCATCCATTTATTTCGTCCTCCACAGTCATGAAGCAACACAAGGAATGGAATGTTAACTTGACTCTGTCCTCATACCAATTCGGATATCATCTCAGTTTTTCCAGAAATGTGATCTTAACAAATGTCTGACTAGCCACACTTAATTTTGTAAAGACTCAACAGCATCTTCTCTTAAGCAACAACACAGTTGTAGATACTGTAGTGACAATTAGCATAATTCCATAAGGATTATTGTTTACAGTTCAAAATCACCTCTGTAAACATTTCCAGCACTTTTTTTTAACCTGTGAGTGTAAATATGCTCAACATGTCATGAATTCTGACAAAAGTTCCCTACTAGTCACACTAGCACACATGAGTGGGCCTTTCCCCTTTATGACCTAATTTTTTTGGAAAAGCAACATTTTATTATATCAAATCCATTTAATATAATGGAATTTCACAATATGCTTTTTGTGTCTAAAACCTTTTTAATAAAATTATTTGAAAGGCGGGATTATAGTACATTTTCATCCATTCTGAGATGCATTCCAAACATCCTCAACACTAACAGGAGGTGCCATGAAAATCAGAGCTCAAGGTATCACATGCAGATTAAGCTGTCTACATCAATCTACCTATGTTGTGCATATTTGCTCAAATATGTCCAGGGTTCTAGAATAGGCCTCAGCTCCAGTGAACCTACTAGGAATAAGTATAGTAAAATGGATGAATGGATGTACATTTCTGCATTTAGCATATTTTAAATGCATATATAATAGCAAGAAGCTGGAGTAACTTTGCAATGAAGAAGTAACAAAAATCCCAGTAGCTGGATGTGCCATGCTAATAAGACCCAAAGAGAGTTTACAACAAAAAAAAAGTCAGCCAAATGGTAGACAAAGGTATTTCAGATTTATTCTGAAAACAGTATTTTCACACCTTACCGAAATCCGACATTGCTGATGTGGCGACTGCCTAGCTGGGACAGGCTCTTCTTGGCTGTGTTCTCCAAGTTGTTTGAACCCTCATCATTGATCACCATGGCAAGAATGAGCCCTGCCTCCACTCCATCTATGTACTTGGCAAGGCGATAACTCTCGTCCTTACTGCGGTACGTGTCAAACCTGTGGGAGAGGGGAATAGAGACATTGTTGTGTACATTACTGCTGCTTTACTGCAGGCCCAGCCAATGTGAAGTGTAGATGTTATGCTTCTGTCATCTTTAAAATGAGTTGTTGAAACTTCTGAAATAATGCTTTCTCAAGTCCTAATCACATGATTTGTAAATAAGCATTAAGCTTATTAAGCAAACATGTTCCACAAGGCAAACTTGACACGTCAAGTCATGTTGCACCCACAACCTAGCTTCTGTAATTTTCCAAATGTAATCTCTTTTCTTATTAAAATTGGACACTAGTGTTTCTTAGGTTCTCTTTTTATGATGGTTTTCATCTTATGTAAGAATGAAAAAACCTCCACAACACCGTGCTGCCCCTAAACTCTAGCATTAAGCACAAAAGATAATCTAATCTGTCATGAAGTCTGATCTGTTGACAGGCAGCGTCCTCACCTGTCCACATGTAACACCTCCCCAGTGTTGGGGTGGATGATGTGCACAATGATGCCTCGGTTCCCCCAGCTTCTCTGGAAGTGGTAGTTGTTTTGTTTCTTCACTCCACGATGGAGGGTCTTGTTGAGGAAGGTCCATGACAACTTCTTTAGTCCATGAATTTCAAGGATTCCGCCTGTTCCAACTCCAATAAACTTCCTGCCAAAGTAGCTGTGTTCTTCATCTGTGTCATTCAGCCTAATTAATAAAGAACAGGATTATACACATCGTTTTTAAGTGTTGTTTGGTGCGCATCTTGCGCCACATCCTGCTTATTCTAATCAAAAGAGAAATGCAACAAATGAAACTCTGGCCAAAATGTAGACATCAGGGTGAGGGTGGTGGCTGTGTTTAGGGGGACTATCCCAACTAGCCTTACAATCTTTAACTACATAAATAAGTTAACATGAAATGACAGATGTCCAGTACAGGGAGGCCAGCCTGAGATCTCTGAAACTTCTACTGTGTTTCTTGTAGTACAGACTGAACTAACAGCACTGAAACACGTGGTGTTTACACTTAAACAGAACTCTGTGAAATCAGACTAATATTCAGTCACATGCAAGATGTCCTCAAAAAACTTCACTTCATATTTGGTTTGGTTAATGATTGAGAAACCACACCACTGGTCACTCATTCTAAAATGTTTGCTAAATTCAGACACAAGAGTGAAGAGTGACTTGTCTCCGGTTTAGCCCATCATGATCAAACAATGCTTGTCTTCAAATAGACATAGCTTAGGCTCAAACAACCATTCAGCCATCCCTTTTAATCTGATCATCTGGTAAAGTTTGGGAAGGAAACCAGACATCCTTTTACCCCAGCAACACTTCCCAGGACCTCCAGGTAGATCCCTAGGCATTCCCAGGCCCGATGTGCTATACAATCCCTCAATCTAGTCCTGGCTTTACCTCAGGGTCTTCTCCCTGAAGGACATGCCCAGAAAATGTCCATAAGGAAGCGACCAGGAGGCAACCATTACTAGATTCCCGAACCACCTCAGCTGACTCTTTTTGATACAAAGGAGCAGTTCTACTTTGAGCTCCCTCCAGATGGCCAAGCTTCTCAACCTATCTCTTTTTTTTTTTAGATAAATGATTTAATTTAATGGCTGTCCTGAACACTGTATAATCATAAACACATCTTTATAACATAAGGTCTATTTTTTAAGTCACATTTATTCTAGATACTTAAGTTTAAATGTCAGCCATTTTACATTTATCAGAAATAGTTTCCTACATCATTTGACTTCATCAAAATGATCATATTAGAGTGTAACGAAGATAGACATAATGAACAGCCATTACAGGTAGAATACATTGTTTCATACAATTGATTGAACTGATTTTGGAAATTCATGTTGCTATTACTGAGCTTAGTTTACATCTGTACCTTCCGAATAGGGAGATGGTTAGATTGCCTTTATAGGGACAGTCTGCGCTTCCAATTTTCAACTCCCCTTTGTTCCCAATAAGAATATGTTTGGTTCGTAGAAGAATGGGTTGGTTTGTGTCTGCAATCACCAGCTTTCCTGTAGGGGAGAGAGGATTGGGTATTGAAGGTAGTGAAGGATGAAAAAACCTGGAATCCCTTTTATGCCCCATTGCCATCTGTGCTCCTACCATTTATGGCCCTGGTCCTCTGCAGTTCACACATACACACAGGCACTCACACACCCAAGACACCACTCATACCAGAAAAGCAGTCTAATGACTTCAGTTCAGCAGTGAAATGACTCTCCTCATGTACATACCACTGTTCTAAAAATGGTCTTGTAATATTAAAATATGTTACTCTATCTAAACGATATAAAATATTGCATAGACTGAATTCGAGAGGATGAATAGCATGAATATCAAACCCTGGCTGGGAGACATGGAGATATTAAGAGAAAAGTCATGATGCAGACAGACAATATCTAAATCAATTAACTTTACAGCAGAAGGTAACCCAGATTTGTCAATTGTACCTCCATTATGAATCTCAATAGAGTGGACGGTGGCTGAGGTCATGAGAAGGACCTTATGGCCATAACCAATTGTAACACGGTGGTCTTCACTGTGACCTGGCACCCATGGCTGAAGTCCTGGTTCTTTATCTGGACACACTACAGAAGACAACATAAACACTTAAGCATTTTGCAAGCAACTTGTTTTCTAAACAACTTTATCACTAAATGAAATTACTTATAAAATATATGAATTCGGAACTAGTATGGTCTTAAGCACATTAGAGAAATTTGAAGGAGAACCACTTATCTAATGTTACCCTCTGACTCACAACACAAATAAAAGACAAGAAAGAATGTAAAATCTGTGTTAGATTAAATACAATAGAAAAGTGGTTCCAACACTATACCTGCTTTTTGTTTTTTATATAAATAAAGATTATTTTGTGCCATCATTTTGCAACATTGTCGCGCTTCTTAGAATTTGCCGTGCCATGTTCTCAAGTAGTGGTGATGCATAATTCATGTCCCTTACACTTTCCATATATTTGCCCATCATCCCCCGTACTTATTTCAGCTGTTAAATTTGGACAGCTGTTATTAAGATGTGCTTTTCCAGGCTGTCAATAAATTGGTAAAAGGCCATGAAATTATCAATAAGGTACAAGAGATTTGAGTTGGATTTGAACAAGCAACTTCACAACCTGCAGACAAACGCTCTAGCATTGGCTTCCTCTTCCCGCCGTACATCGTGGACCACCAGCTTGTGCTTCTGAGCTGGATTGGCCTTGCTCCAAGTCTGCTAGTCCCAAGGCGAAGACCACTCCTCCCCTCCTTAACATGTCCCACGATGTCCCAGTGTCAGAGTGCTGCCTTTGCCTGCTCTGTAGCAGCCAGTTGGGTCCACTTCCTCCCAGTGGCCAAGATGGGTGCTGCTTGGGAAACTAGGGGGTCACTGGAGTCTATGAGAGTCATCTCCAGTCTGAACTTGGCACACCTGTACTCATCTGCCAGGCTAGTAAACGGAAGTTTCAGAATCCCTCTGCCATAAAGCCCAATGCTACTGAGGCACCTAGGAAGGCCAAACAACTTCCTGGCAAAGGGCCTGACCAGCCTCTCCAGTTTTCCACCTTTGAGAGTAGAACCTCGTAGAGGGTTAGTGTCACGCCTGGGGGAATGTCTCGTCTTGATTACCTATTGTGTA